GCTTGGTTAAAAGAGGTGGATGCAAATAAAACAGAAGTTGAAATGAAAGAACTAGTAATAACAACAAAAATGGTAGAAAAAAGAGCAAAGAAAATCAAAAATTGGTCAGCACCAGGTGAAGATGAACTGCATGGGTTTTGGTTGAAACATCTAACTGTTATACACCCACTCATTGCCAAGCAGTTCAACAATATACTACAAGGAGGAGAAATTGAAAAGTGGCTAACAACTGGGAAAACCTACCTAATAATGAAAAATCCAGCAAAAGGGGCAACACCAGGTAACTACAGGCCAATTACCTGCTTACCAACAACTTTCAAATTACTAACTGGTGTGGTAGCTGATGCAGTACAACAGCATCTAGTTGAAAACAATCTCTTTCCACCTGAGCAGAAAGGAAACCGCCCCAATAGCAGAGGAACAAAAGATCAACTCCTAATAGACAAAATGATCTTGGAAAACTGCAAGAGAAGGAAGACCAACCTGAATGTGGCATGGATTGACTACAAAAAGGCATTTGACTCTCTGCCACATGATTGGATAATAAAGTGCCTAGAAATAACAGGAGTCAGTAGAAACATCAGAAAATTTGTGCAAAGATCGATGGCACAATGGAAGACACAGTTGCAGATCAATGGTGAGAAGCTGGGAGAGGTTAATATCAAGAGAGGAATATTTCAAGGAGATTCATTATCACCATTACTATTTGTTATTGCACTGTTTCCTCTGTCAACAATACTGAATAACTCAGGACATGGCTATCAAACATCAAAAACATCTGCCAGACTATCCCACCTCCTTTACATGGATGATCTGAAGCTGTATGGAAAAACATCATCTGAAATAGAATCGCTGCTCAACACTGTCCGTATATATAGCCAAGATATTGTAATGGAGTTTGGCTTGGACAAATGTGCCACACTTACTATCAAACAAGGAAAAATAGTGAAAACTGAAGGAATCAAGATGCCCCACGAAAATAACATTAAGAGTCTGGATGAGGAAGAGTACTACAAATACTTGGGTATCCTTCAAGCTGACAACATCAAGCACACTGAAGTCAAGAAAAAGATTAGAGGTGAATACATCAAGAGAGTGAAGAAGATCTTAAAGTCCAAACTCAATGGAGGAAATACCATAAAGGCAATCAACACCTGGGCAATCCCAGTCATTAGGTACACAGCTGGAATAGTGGACTGGACTCAAGCAGAACTAAAAGCAATGGATAGGCAGACCAGAAAAATAATGACAATGAATCATGCCCTTCATCCACGCAGTGACATTGATAGACTTTATCTACCAAGGCAAATAGGTGGGCGTGGAATGCTACAAGTACATCAGATGGTTGAAGAAGAAAAAATGGCTTTGGAAGAATATCTGAAGAACAATGATGAAGATGCACTGAAATTAGTATATCAGGAAGGCTTACTAACTACTGGAGAGACCAAACTGGCCTACAAGAAAGACCAAATGAAGAACAGAATAGAGGCATGGGAAGACAAAGCACTACATGGCCAATACATGAAAAAAATAGCTGGGAAAGCAGATAATAATAAAACCTGGCAATGGCTAAGAGCAGGAAAATTGAAGAAAGAGACCGAGGGACTAATTCTGGCTGCACAAGACCAAGCCTTAAGGACAAACGCATACAAAGTCAAAATTGAGAAGACAGCAACAGACAGTAAGTGCCGCCTATGCAAAGAAGCTGAAGAAACAGTGGACCACTTGGTAAGCTGTTGCAAGAAGATTGCACAGACTGATTACAAGCAGCGGCATGACAAAGTAGCAACAATGGTGCATTGGAAGATCTGCAAAAAATATCATTTGCCTGTAAGCAAAAACTGGTGGGATCATAAAATAGAGAAAGTCATAGAAAATGATAAAATTAAACTGCTCTGGGACTTCAGAATTCAAACAGACAAGCACCTGCAACATAACACCCCAGACTTAACAATTGTCGATAAGAAAGACAAAAAAGTCTGGATAGTGGACGTGGCAGTGCCTGGAGATAGCAGAATAGAAGAGAAAGAACTGGAGAAGATAACAAAATACAAAGACCTACAAATAGAAATAGAAAGACTGTGGCAAAAGCAAGCAAGGGTAGTACCAATAGTCATAGGCTCCTTGGGTGCAATCCCAAAACAACTGGAGCACCACTTGAACACCATTGGCATTGACAAATTCGCTATTAGTCAATTGCAAAAGGCAGCCTTATTAGGAACTGCTTCCATCCTGCGACGATACCTGTAACACCATCAAACATCCACATCTGCCTATCCCAGGTCCTGGGTAGGGACTCGATGGGTAGACAGGGTGCCAAATCCAGTCTGAACATCTGGCTAACTGTGCGATGATCCACAATAATAATAATAATAATGTATATTGAACATCATAGCAAAGACAGGAAAATTGTTTTTAAATATGCTTACAATAGCAGGTATGTGTAAAAGAGAGAGTGCAAACTGGAGAGGAGATTTTAACTGTTTTCTGCTGTTTTCTCCTTAACATACAGTTTCAGAATAAGAATTTCCATGGGGGGGGGCCGGAAAAAACACTGTATTCATTTATAATACCAGGTAAGACCACACTTGGGCTATTTCATCCAGTTTTGGTTGCTACAACATAAAAAAAGATGTTGAGACTCTAGGAAGAATGCAGAGAAGAGCAACAAAGATGATTAGGGGACTGGAGGCTAAAACACACAGTATAAAGAACGGCTGCTGGAACTGGGTAGGTCTAGTTTAATGAAAAGAAGGACTGGGGGTGACATGATAGCAATGTTCCAATATCTAAGGAGCTGCCACAAAGAAGAGGGAATCAACCTGTTCTTCAAACAACTTGAAGTCAGAACAAGAAGCAATGGATGGAAACTAATCAAGGAGAGAACCAGCATAAACTAAGGAGAAATTTCCTGTTAGCTAGAACAACTGATCAGTGGAATGACTTACTTCTAGAAAATCTCTGGAGATTTTAAAGAAGAGACTGGACAATCATTTGTCTGAAATGTGTATAGGCTTTCCTGCTTGAGCAGGGGGTTGGACTAGAACAGAGGTCCCCAACCCTCAATCCGTGGACCAGTACCGGGCCACAGCATGCCAGCAACTGGGCCGCACAAACAAGCAAAGCCCCATCCATGAGCCATTACCTTCTGGTCTGCAGAAAAACCTTTCTCCAGAGAATCGGTCCCTGGTGCCCAAAAAGTTGGGGACCTCTGGACTAGAAGACCTCCAAGGTCCCTTTGAACTCTATTATTCTGTTATCCTGTTAAAACAAATTTATTTCCCTCCCCATTCCACCAGTCACTTCATAAATTGAACAATGCCATGCTACCCCCTCAGCTGCTATTGGCATCCCTTTGAAAAAAATCTGAAAATGCATCATATGTAGATGTGGCTTCTGTTATATACAGTTGAGTAGCTTCAGAGTTTCAGGTGATCATGAAGAAACAAGTACAAACTTGCATAGATAACTTTGGTGTGTGATTACAGTGAAATGTAAAAAGCACAACAAATGCTCTTAAAATAGGCAGTATATTTGAATATAGCCAGAAGCAAATCATCAATTTGAAGATTCCACATTGAAATCTCACTGATTCTTTTTCACCTAGGAGATTAGACAAATAGCTTTTGATATAACAGAATTTAAGATATAAAGTACCGTAATGGTCCTTATCATTAAATGAATTGTAAACCAAATTACAAAGTTGGCTTGAAACTCAACATTAAGAAAACCAAAATCATGGCATCCGGTCCTCTCAATTCCTGGCAAATAGATGGGGAAGAAATGGAGGTAGTGACAGATTTTATTTTTCTGGGCTCCAAGATCACCTCAGATGGGGACTGCAGCCAAGAAATTAAAAGACGCTTGCTCCTGGGGAGGAAAGCTATGGCAAATCTAGACAGCATACTAAAAAGCAGAGACATCACCCTGCCAACAAAAGTGCGTATAGTCCAGGCCATGGTTTTCCCAGTTGCAATGTATGGCTGTGAAAGTTGGACCATAAGAAAGGCTGAGCGCAAAAGAATTGAGGCCTTTGAACTATGGTGCTGGAGAAGACTCCTGCGAGTCCCTTGGACTGCAAGGCGTTCAAACCGGTCAGTCCTAGAAGAGATCAACCCCGACTGCTCTTTAGAAGGCCAGATCCTGAAGTTGAAACTCAAATACTTTGGCCACCTAATGAGAAGGAAGGACTCACTGGAGAAGGGCCTAATGCTGGGAAAGATTGAGGGCAATAGAAGAAGGGGACGACAGAGAATGAGATGGCTGGATGGAGTCACTGAAGCAGTAGGTGTGAACTTAAATGGACTCCAGAAGATGGTAGAGGACAGGAAGATCTGGAGGAACATGGGGTCGCGATGGGTCGGACACGACTTCCCAATAACAACAACAACAAACCAAATTACAGAAAACTCATTGCTTCCGGTGAAATGAATTTCTTCACATTTTGAAGGCTTTTGTGTAAAAATGAAGTTGGCAGAAATGAAGAGTAGATTCCTTAAAGGACTACAAGTCAGCACAACAGAACAAGCAAACAGTCTAACTGCTATGCTAATTAATATTGAAACATTTGCTTTAAATTTCAAGTAACCGTCAGTTGGCATATATGCTGATTGTATCTTTTATTGCCTAAAATGAAATCCAAAAATCAAGTTATTTGCCCATATAAGCCTAATACCCCATTCTGGTCTGGTAGTCTACACAGTCTTAAACATGAAACACCAGGAATTAACTTATCTGTATGCAAAGTATGTTACTACAATAGAATGTATGCATATATCTCTTTTACTGCATACTTTATTTAGATCATGGGAAATAAATGTTTTCCAAAACAAGCATGAGATTAATTCTGTAGTGAATTTCAGTCAATGTACTGAATTTACAGCTTGTTTACCCATTACAAATGCAGTGGGCATCTATTGTGCTATAGGATCTATAGTGCAATATTGACGGGCTATTTGCAGCCAACAGACAGCATGAGACCCTTAGTTAGAAGGGGTGTAGCCCATAAAGCTTCCAGGATCTTCATCTACTTCCTCCATGGGCCAACTGATCAGCCAGCTAGCAGGAAATAGATTGTTGGTTTCCTGTTTTCATTATTAGAAGGAAATGAATCAATCTGGTCCCTGCAGACCAGTTCGTTACCTGCTAACATCAGCCACAAACAAGCAATGCACAGTGCGATACTCTTACCAATCTCTCTATTTTTCCTTTTTTGTTTTTTTATTTTTTTGATTATGTTTACATTACTATCCTGCAGATATGCTTCTATGGATTATTATGCATCTTTAGATTTAATCAGAAAAAAATCTAATCTGTACTGTGTTATGAAATAAATCTTTTCACTGGTGCTGCTGAAAATACATTTTTAAAGAGCACAACAGACAAAACAATAAAAGAAAAAAAAAGGTAAGAGACTGCATGACTTGTAAATTTGAACAGAGAGGGAGGAAGCAAACAAGGAGATATTCAACTGACTATTTCTTTTTCTCCCTATGATTCCATAAAAAAATCTGACAAATTAGCTCTACTTTGTCATCAAAGGCTTCCTTCTTTTCTAAATTTGGTAGCAGAATATGAATTTGAATCTATATTAACCCGCCTTTCTATTAATCTAGTTGCTGAAATAAATTGTGCCCTTTTTAAAGAGGCTAAGCTTCCTTTTTATGCTTATGAATGTGACTTTTCTTTAAAAAAAATGATGTCCATGTGACAGTTCCATTGAACAATCAGCTTGTTATAGTGCTTACTGCAGCAGTATGAACAAGATCTGAAGCTGGAATTGAGTAATTAATTTCATATGCCAGAGGAATTAGCTTGCAATACATATAATAAAGGCCAAAATACAGCTGCAAAGATGGCATGCTGCTTTACTGGTTTTTCCATGTATTACTTTGTCAGCTGGCATTTTATAATAAATGCAGAGAAAATACATTTACATTAACCATCTCAAAAACCTTTGCATGCATTCTTACATCATTTTTATTTCTCTATTAAAAAACTTTTTTGTTCTTTGTGGTCTTAGAAAAAAGAGACAAATTATATTTGCATTAGATAGATTATGTTGATGAATATGAGCTGCACAGGACACTTCAATAGACATATGCTAAATAGATATAATTAATATTGAGAAGAGGTTATTTGTTGTTTTTACAGATGCATTTGATAAATGAATCCACTAATACAAGTAGTAACTTGGCTTTGTTCAAACCTAACATTTACAAATTGTGGAGCCAGGCAACTGACTTCCTTTGTAACTACCCATAAATCTATTTGGAATTCTCTGAAACACCATCAAAAGAAATACCAAAGACTGAAGCTGGATTTCAGAATTAAGGTGTATGAAACTACTTTTGAAAATGATTGGTGTATTCTCCCACGCTGATATATATCACAAATTAGAGCCGCTGTGAAATACGGTATACTTAATGATATGCTTCATTTATAGAATTTATTCTAGCATGACTTTTCCAAAATTTAAGGTGCTCAAAGCAATTTGTAACTATGTTTATGCATTAAAATGGTTTTTCCTACATTTAATAATTAATCTAGTTCTTCCATCCATCATTTGTCTGTTCCAAAAACAGGGTGAACAAAAACCATGCTATTATTTGCAGGTGAGGATAAAAGGGCTGAGATTTCTGAGGGATCCAGGTCTGGGTTTGTTTTCTTAAAAGTAAAATGCTTAATTTAGATATTTATTTGTATTGTTACTTTTATCTGTTTTGCATCAAGTAGTGGAAAACAAGTGCAATCAGTTTTCTGCATTCATACAGATATCTCAACCATCCAGGACTTAGATGCTGCAAGTTCACAAAAGTATGTATATTCCTAGAAATTTGTATTAGACTGGCACATCTAATTGAAAACTGACTTTTTCACTGGGTGGTAGAAAATATGAAAAGTTCAAGTTGTTCACATTTGCTCAAAGATGAATCTGACAGAAATCTTCTACCAGTACTTTCTTACTCCATCCCATCAGTGGTCACACGTGATCCAAATTTTAGGGAATTAGAATATTGTTTCTTTTTGATATTCAGTATTCCTCCAATCCTCACACAAAGATTAGAATTAATGTTAGAAATGTTGAAAGTGTCTATATACTATTAAAACTCTCATTCTGTTTATTTGTTTCTCTGTAACCTCATGTTAGCGCAAACAGTGCATAATATCACAACAAGTTTTGAATCAAGATATTTAAAATCTGCTAACTTAAAGTGTCCATTAAAATTATATGAGATTCATTACTCCTCTGGAATTGAAAATTTCACAATGTTAAGAATAGATTTGTTTGCAAAGTTGTAGTCTTTGCAACATCTCTGCAGTCATGCTAACATGATTTCAGATGCTTCTTGCCAGCTTCCCACAAGCAAAGTCAATGGGGAAGCTGACAGGAAGTTGGAGGTTGCCCCCACTCCCATTGTCTTTTTGCTTACCTTTCTGTTTATCTGTTTAGGTAAATAAATATCAACTTAGAATTGAAGGGGTTTTTGTCTCTACAATTATTTTTCTATTTGTAATGTATACTTATATTCAGCCTATATATATGTACTCATTTGGATCAGTTCAGACTGCACTACCTTTCTCTCAACTGGTGGCTGAGTGGATCATAAGGTTGTCTAACATTTGACATACTATATTCTCTCTAGAACAGTGATAGGCAACCTTGGCTCTTTTATGACTTGTGGACTTGAACTCCCAGAATTCCTGGGCCAGCATGGCTGGCTCAGGAATTCTGGGAGTTGAAGTCCATGAGTCATAAAAGAGCCAAGGTTGCTTACCCCCGGTCTAGAATGACAGAACCCATTTGTTTTGCCCTTTATTGAAAGGCCATTGATTGTTATTCCCAGTTTCATTTTGCTTCTTTCATTTAAATACAGTTATAGGTTTCATTTCTGAAGATTTCATTTTTAATACTGTATATCTCTTTCTGGCCATCTATAAAAAGTAAAAAATGTTCCAGGTAACTTTTTGTTAACTTCCATTCTTGTAATTTGGCCTTTCCCATCTATGGAGATTTTTATACTTTATACTTTTTATTTATCATTAAAGATTATTTATCATCAAAATCCAATAAATGCAGACAAAGAAGCACAATGAAGTTAGATAAAAGCAAAGGGATAGAGGAGGACAGTTAAGGAAATTAATAAAATTACAAACTATCTGGACAGAAATAAACCAGCCATCAGATATTGCCAGGATTAAATCAAAGGTTTTCTCACCACAATAAAAATCTTACAGAATTAGGTGATCCTTCTGTTCAGTTGTTATTTAACAAAAACAGAGCATTCTTCACATCAGATCAGCCCATCTGAGAAGTCTTTAATAGTACTATTAATTCAGAATGCCATGCTTGATAAAAAGAGCAGCACAATAGATTGTGTAAAACTGTCTTGATTGCTCCATCTGTTGTGGCCCTGTATGGTTGAACCTTCTCTTCAGGACTATTAATGGCAAGGCATTGAGCCTGGCTAATGAAAACACTCTTCTGTATGGGACAAAAAGGCTATTATAAAAGTAAGTAAGGAGAAAGGTTTACCACCAAAGATACAGTTACAGTAGTAAGGGTCTTTGCTCCTATCTCTAGAATTCCAGGCAAAGAACTATTTAAAAATTTCTAGGGCCCTGATCTTGTCAAAAATATTATCATGACAGGCCATAATAATTCAGATAGAAGATTATGCTTTTCTTCCAAAAAAGAAGCAAAGCTATCATCTGGGTCAAAGAATCATCTTAAATGCATTGGGGACAAAATATTTGCAAATATTGAATTAAGATACCTGAAGGCCTATATGCTTGAATTGTTTTGTCTTTTGTTTCTTTGAAACAATGAATAATTGGAATAAAACTTCTAAATATTTAAAGTCTTTGACTTTGCTCAAGTAGGCATTTATTTACTAGTTATGAAGGAACATATAAATGTCTGAATTATAAATGAAAGATACCCTATGAGGTTTGAAATGAAAAGATAAGATATTCATTTAAGTATAAATGTATAATGCAACAAACACTTGCCCTGCAAAATAAAGTTAGGGATTTTCTACCAAGCCCACATTTGACAGCAAATCCTATTTTACACATGTGTTGTTTTGCAGAAAATGGGATTTGCTTTGCCTTCATCTGAAGTATACTCTAAGCTGCACACCCTTGCTTGCTGCCATAAAGTGGGTCAATGAGTCACAAGCAGAGTTGGATGGAAACTAACCAAAGAGAGAAGCAACCTAGAACTAAGGAGAAACTTCCTGACAGTTAGAACAATTAACCAGTGGAACAACCTCCTCCAGAAGCGGTGAATGCTCCAATACTGGAAGTTTTTAAGAAGAGACTGGACAGCCATTTGTCAATGATATAGGTACCTGTCTGAGCAGGGGGTTGGACTCAATGACCTCCAAGGTCCCTTCCAACTTTATTATTATTATTATTATTATTATTATTATTATTATGATGATGATGATGATGATGTACATAGCTGTCTATGGTCTTAGCATTACATTATATCAGTCAACTATATCAATAGTGTACTCTAATTAAGTCTGCTATTAGTAAGCTGCCAACTATCTTTTTGGTGTTCCTTCATGTGGCATCCTCAGAAAGCTAAAAGAAGTGTTTGGCTTCAAGCATTGGAAAATAGTTATAGTAGTAACTAGAGACTGTCTTGCAGGCTCACTTTCCAACTTCTGTTCTTAGTCTTGGCAGGATGAGGTGTTGATGGCAGGTGCTGGATTTGCTATAAATGGACAATTTATAAACAGAGCTGACAACTGGGAAAACAGAGTATGTATGTGTTGGGGAGGAAGGGGGAGAAGAACACTAGCATTTCACATCCTGATATTTGATTTCCTATCAAATGGCCTTCAGCACGGAATATTGGTAGGTACTGTCCTGAAAGGAAACCATTTGGCTTAGATTTAAATAAATTCTGCTCAGGTTATAGTACTATTAGGGTTGGAGATTTTCAGCAGGCCATTAATGTTATTTAAATTCACATAGCTGGCTTTCCTCCTCAAGTTTTTTTTAAATTGCTTCATTGAGTCAATAGTAGTCTCAAACACTGAATTCAGTAAAACATTTTTTGCAAGATCACAGCACCCAAATATCATTTTGAATTTGAAGTTTCCTGTGTGAATGGATTTGTTGCAAACTTTCTCCATCGATTGCTAACTTTCATCAGAGAAGTTGTCTTGCGTTCAAAGGCATTTGAAAGTGATGTCATCAAGTATTAAGTTTCAAGAGTCAAATTCAGAGAAGAGACAAATTTTGTACAAGAGATACTTTTAAATTCAAGGGGCAGCTATGTAGACAAACAGAAAACAAAGCTCACCACATCAGTAGGATAAACAATAATAAAAAATAAAAAAAGATTTTTTTTAATCTAGGTATCATTTCTCTCTTTATAACAGTGGTGTCAAATTTGTCAAACGGGCCAGTTTCATCATACCGAAGCAGCGCCCACCCCATTGCCGGCAATACAAAAAGAGTTGTAATACGTTGCGACACGTCACGTGACATGGCGAGTTTGACACCCGTGCTTTATAATGTCTATTAGTCTTGAAAGATGACAAATAGAGTGATTATATTGATTCTTGATTCTAAATGTTGATGCAATATAAAATGTGATTTGCCCAGGGTCATAACATCTCATGTTGAAGCATATATGGACTTTCTGCAGAAGTGAAAAAAATTGAGGGAAGAAAACATTTTGACTAATGTGGTTAAAAGGGAGTTTTTCACATTTCTGAATTACTAACAGGTTTTATTTAAGGCATCAAATGTTTTTTTCTCCACTGAAATGGTTTATTTTAAAAGTTTGATAACATTTTAAAGAAGGATTCTGCATTTTCCTGTTCATTTATCCATTTGTTAAAAACATCTCAAAACTAGTTCAAACAAGAGGTGGATAGAAGGGAAGACATGTACACAGTAGAATTGTTTCCCATGCCTAAAGTGATTTATCAATATCTCAGCTACTGACAAGAATCCTCCTATCAAGCTTTCAATATTCATAGTTTATATTTCTTAAGCAGGAGATACATTTGAAATTGGGATGTTTTGGGCATTACCTCAACATCACTGTGGGGGAGATGATTTGTACATTCCCCAAATGATAGACTGCTGAGGTTTTCCCACCATTCTGGAGATGTCCAGAATACTCCCTATCGCTTCAGCTTGTACTTCCCATTTTAACTGGGCAACACAGCACATTTGCAAACAATTCATTCAGTTTTAGCCACCTTCATTTTCTATTTTCTAAGAAAGCCCATGGGGTTTTTTGCAGTATGTTCAGTTCCTATATCATGTTTTAAATTAAAAGAATCTAGAAAACTAAAAACGAAGGCAGCAGGGGCCAGAACCTAGCAGAATCAAGGATAGCATTCATAGATATTGTACTCATTATACTAAGATTCCCTATATCTGACATAGAGTAATAGGGAAGGAAAGCAAAGAAGAAGATAAGGGATAGTAAACAGTCCCTGGATTCCACCTTTGATGTTCTAAAGCTGGAAGCAAAGCCATCTATTGAATTTTATGGCTAAATATTGGTTCAAATAGTGCAGCCTTATCATGTTTCTTCAGAAGGCAGGTCTTCATGAGTTCAACTGAATTTACATTCAGAAAAATGTGATTGGAATTGTTCTTATTAAATAGTAACATGAACGTTTCATTTTAGTTTCTGGTAGATCAGATCCCACAATCCAAAAGGCCACCTAAAAAAGTAATACTTCAAGCTTCCTAGAATTGACCAGAAGAGCAAATAACATATTAAGGAAAGGGGAAAGAGGGATGTCTAGAAAGGCTGTCATGGCATCAAAACCACACTGAGCAAATAGAAATAATTTTTCCCCTGAACTGTATTCTTTACAATATATTTTTGTTAGATTGAGAATGTTTATAATATAGCAGCTATGCCTCTCCAGGGAATGTTAATATTCAGCTGAAGAAGTTTTCTGCAAAACACAAACTTTGCTCACTCTTTTTCCCTATATTTTTCTTTTCTATTAATCCATGTGATTATTTTATTCATTTTCCATTCTTAATCATATTAAACCTTTGAAGATACGGTAAACCTCAATGACATTTTCTTAATTTCCTTCAGGACTTTACTGTGAAGCATCATTTTTTTGTCTATGGAAAAAGCCTGGTGTTTTCTTTACTACTGATCAAACTACTACTGTTTTTTACAGAAGGATCTTTTCTGCAACTTGCTTTATTTTTAGAAGACATAACTCCAGTTAATCTACAAGAATTATGGTATAACATATATGGGCAATTCAAGGTAACTGAGTAGCAATACAAGATCAGGGGCCCACTTAACCAACCAAAAACAAACAATAATCCTATGTACTACAGATCCCTGCAATTGTCTTCTATCTTTGCACAAGTGAAATAAAGAGCAATGCAGATGTAGTCTCATCTCCTGCGTGGCTGGGAGAGAGGAATGTTTCAAAAATAAGAATTTGACTGACATTTCTAGTTTTGGTGACTTAATATAGCTCTTTGGAGAGTCCTATAATTTGATATTCAAACCCTTGATGGTCTTTTCTGAGAAAAATCTGCAGCTAATCAGCCCTGTGATATTACTTCTTTCAATATCTGTGTTCAGGAATATTCCTATAATTCCTTTTATGAGGAATTACTCATACTCATGAAATATTCAATATTATATAGGTCTATTTAGAAAGCAATCCATCAGAATTTAGTAGGATTTACATTTGCAGCCATAGAATAGAATCTTTCAAAACGTCAACTAATTTTCTTTAGATTTACTGGGTAGTGGATACACTTACCCAGGAATAAGATTCATTCTGCATAATAGGTTTTATTTATGAGTAAGCACATATATTGTGGCATTGTTAATATGTACCTTTCATCTGTGGGACTTTATGTATGCAAGAGGATTTTGTGCAGCCCCGCCTAGAAGTCTACTGGGAAAGAATCCACTACGCTGTCACTGATGAAATGACTGTGACATTTTTGAGTGGAAGACAGCTCTGTATATATAATTAAAAGACCACTGGTGAAGTGGTCTTTTCACATTAGCATGGATCAAATGCAAAATGGCACATGGAAACAAGGGCACGTCAACACCCATGAGCTCAGTGTGTTAACACAAGGTTAAATTTCAGCACACAGATTCCTGCCAAAAGTGGGAGTCAGCTATTAATATGGCATTGCTTAATCTGAGATATATGAATACACTTCTATGTACTTCAAAGCTGAATTTACAACAGTAATCTAGGGACTCAATCTAACCTCAATTTAAGAGACTCCCATTCAACAATTTCACATGAAAATACAATAATTGGAATTTTGATTTTGCCCCCCAAATAAGAGAGTACATCTGTTATGTGGGAGGAATGTCTGAATAATGATGGTTTCTGAACATGGGTTGATATTTTTTTTTATTTTCATGAACTGGACTGCATTGTATACTGCTAATGGCATGAGATTTGTAAATATTTTGTTTAGCGTACCATGTTTTCCAAAGGTAGTTAAAAGCCCCTGTGGTTAGGGTTCTCCCTGTGAAGCTGGAATGAAAAAATCAGCTCAACTTTTGACAGATAGCTATACCTACTGCTCTAAGCATCTGTCCAAATTCACCTCCTCCGCCACCACATCCCAAAATTAAGTGGGGAGAGTGATTGATGGATTTTTTTTCTCCTGGAAAACTATCTACCCATCATGGTATTGCTAAGACAGAATCACTTGAAAGCCTGGTTGCTAAGCAAAATAGAGATTAGCTATGGGGAAGAGTATATTAAACTAGCTATCTGGATGTATTATTTGGAAGCAGCTGGGGAGGCATGTGCATACATAGGAAGGTGAAAATAAAGGCACTTTGATGATAAAATAAATGTTAGCAATCACATTTTATAGCTTGCCCCCAGTTATTTTATCCCTTCCAAATCTGAAATCATTAGATAGAAAATATAGGCAGTTAAGAGTAGGAGAAAGGTGATTGGCTAACTTGTCCCAAACACATATATACTGTATATACAGATTTTAATTAATTCTTTAGCTTATATAGTTATCCATATAAAGCAAACCAAACACTGGTCCATTTACCTTAGTACTTTCCAAGGATTTCAGCAGAGGCTTTTCCCAGTTCCCTTTGGAAATAATGATTGAGATAATTAGCTAGCTAGCTAAAAAATACACATCCATAGTTTATTATTATGAACCTGAAATTGGATGTTTATTCACTGAAAATTCACAGATGAGACATGAAGAACGTTTCATGCAAGAAATTTTTTTTTTTCCAAATTCACAAAGATATTTCTGTAAATACCATAGAGTTGTTCTTTGTTAGAGGGGGATAGTATTAAAACTTTTTCTATTTCTTCTAGGCAAACTGCACAGTAGACATCATTATTCAATAATCCATACACAGCTAGAAAATCATTCTGGCCCATGTTTTCCTCCCAAGAATTCTAGCTAATATGTTTAGTAATTATTTCAAGAAGACAGGTAATATTCCTTCTGAGGATTTTGTACCGCACAAGCAAAATACACCAATTACTGAGGGAGCCCAGGATACTTATTCAAGATAATAGCCTATTGATTAGCCACAGTTAATCAAACAATTTAATTACAGATTACCTTAGGCAGATTATGTATTTCAGTTTTATATAAATATATATTTCCATACAATTGTCCTCTTCTTTTAAATACACTTACATAAATGCAATCTTTGCACTTAGTTTGCATTCAGTTTGGCCATGCTGAAAAGTCAAAAACAATATTCTAGCAGGCAATGGCTAATCACATCTGTAATGCTGCAAAGAAAGGTCCCTGGATGCAGATGGCAGGAGTAAGCACTTGAACTGAAGATATAGCCACCTCCTCCCCCCTCAATAAATAATGCACCTTTGTGCACATTTTTCATGTACATCTCCTTTTATTTTTATTTTTTTTAAGCTACAAGCTCCATTATTAAATAATGAAATGTTGATTTCCAACACACAAGTTGTTCTTGTTCACATTTAGATCTTGGACATAAAATGTGCAAATTTTATGTTAAATTCCTACCAAATTTATGTATAGTGACTACACATCTTTAGCACACTAGCATTGATGATGTTATCTAGTTTGGGTAATGAACCATCTGCAAGAAAACATGCAAGCTCAGAGAGCACCCAGGATCCCTACCTATCTTTAATCTTCTTGAACCACCTTAGTTTTTCATGTCAGCTGTTAGTGAAAAAAAACCCCACTTTGTTGAAGTAAACTATATGGCCAAACATGCATCTACGTTGGCCAACTCTCTGTGCTTCACAAATCACTTCTTGAAAATAGCATGCAGATAAAATTATAACAGCCCGTCAAATGCAAAAGGGTTATGTGAATCTGCCCCCAAAGCCTATAATTTGTGATAGATACAATGTTTGGAAAGAAAAGCACACATTCCTTCCTATGAAGGATGAGCATGACATTTCTTCTTCCATTCCCATAACTCTTATCTATACCTGAAAGTGGGAAAAATGCAACTCATAGTAGCACTGCCAAGCATGTTATCTTTGGCACCACCAATTTGGCAACCATTCTTTGAAGATAATCACAGAGTTTTGTAACTCCCTGACCCATCCCTGGGTCTTCTGTGCAAAAGGGATTTAAATTAAACCTAATCTTCTTCATTTTTTTTCCACAGAAGAATTTCTGTAGTTCAAAATTCCAGATGTGATAAATGACTGGTATTACTTAGAAAAATAAGGCCTAAAAAAAGGTAATAGGAAAGTACCTCAACTTAACATTGAGGCTTGATGCAAGATATAGGATTATTGAATCACATAGCATCCCTGAAACATGGTTAGAAGGGAATAAAACTATTGATTTGATTAACATTAGATAGATTTGATTAACATTATTACCCTGCCATTTTGCTATCAAAATCATGCTTTACTCCAAAATGAATGAACAATATAGGTTGTTCAAGCCAGCATCAAGGCATAGTAGAACTTTATAAAATTATGCAGGGAGAAAAAGAATGTAACAGAAGAGTTACAGCCTGGGAAGTAGATAAATATAATTTCAGAGCAAGATGCCAGCAGAAGGACTTGGGGAATGTGAATTGTCTATAGAAGAGACCTTTGTAGAAACATATTCTATAAAATTAGTATGGTCAGAAAAAGATTTTGCTGTTCCCTTGACTGATACTGAGAAAACTAAGATATCAATATTAAGGCTAATTCTTAGAGATAAATTTGTTTAAAATACAATTTTCAAATCCATGTTTTTGAAATCTTCTTTCACATGAATGCACACACATTATTAGTTCTAGGAATCAGCTAGTTAACTTCCTATTGTAATCTTTCAATGCTCCCAATGCATATAAAGTAAAAAAAAACCATGCATAGGATTGAAGCCTCACCCCTTCCTTATATGTGTTGTACACATAAAGGAAAAAAAGGTGAGGTTTTGGTTGTGCAGTTATGGCCATCATAGAGATGATTTTGATCCCTATATCCCACATGAGCACTTTTGAGCCCTACAATATTTTAATTCCCAAGTGCTGTTTCTGTATAATAGTTTGAATTCAGCATACTATTTAATTAAAGGATATTGAATTCACACTATTCCATTTTATACACAGTCCTTATGATAATAATGGCACAATTCTATTTGCCTATAATTAGAACAAACACCAAAATGGCTGATTTATTTATTTTATTTACAGTGGTACCTTGATACTCAATTGCTTTGAAACTCATTGAATTTGATACCAGTGCATTTTAATGCAAAAACTTTGTCCTGGTACTCATTGCTTGTTTGGTATTCAATACACAAGCTAGAACTTGTCAGTGTCGGCTGACTCACTATATTATTCCTAATGGGAAATATTTGTTTGATGCTCATCGTTTTTGGTACTCATCATTCCTCCCTGTACCAATTAATAATGAGTACTGAGGTACCACTGTATGTGGTTGTCCTTCTTGCCATAATTACTCTGGATGCCTAACACCACATATACTACAACATAGTGCAAAATAAACAGAAATAAAAACAACATTATTTATTTGTTTGTTTACAACAACAACAACAACAACAATAATAATAATAATGGCTGTC